GGGCTCATCCCAGGGCTTGCTGCAAACTCTTTTCCAGGCCACCAGCGTGCCCTTGTCAAAGTGTTGAAGTGCCACACGCCATCACTGTTCCCAGAGGGTGCAAAGTCAGCAGAGCAGCCGCCTCCAGTCATTGCTTGTGACAAGCGAGTGGGAGGACGCATCGTTGCAGGGATGAAGGGGAGGATGAGGAGCTCCTGAGGGGCTAGGAAGGGGCTGCCTGCTGCTGCCCACATCATCACAGCCCAAAGAGACACAAGCCCAAGGCAGCGTATACTTAATGGTTTTGCTGGAAAAATGAGACTTGTAGGTTTTAAGGACAGCAAGAAGGTTCTACTTAAACTGTCCCAAACCTTAGGACTGGAAGAAAAGGGGTGCAAGTTCTTGCAGACTAATGGACCAGTCTCAGCTGAGGTGCTGTAAGAAATGGGGCTGTTGCTTACTGTAAAATAAAGGCAGAGATATTCATGTCCACATTTTTTCCAGCCATTACGAGACCAATAGTTTCACAGTTTTCCTCTAACTGAAAAAAAAAACCCCGAACAACTGGAAAACCCTCTCCTCTGCATGCACAAAACTCATCCTCCAAACCACAACCCTTCAGCAAAGCAGATTTGCTGTTCCCAAGATTGAGGCAATCAGAACATTTTCCAATCCTAAGTATGGAGAAAAGAATAAAAATAGGCTTGAAAATTTTGGCTCAGCTCCCCAGTCGAGCCCTGTTCGCTTCCACCCAGAGAAGAGCACATCTTGATCTGATGAATTAATGATCCTCTTCACTCAAGACATCAGGAAGAAGCTGACCTTGGTGCAGTGGAGCAATGCACGAGCGCTGGGCTGTCACCTCCCTTCAAACCCACCCTAGGGTTTGCAGATTTGTTCCAAGATGGGAGATGGTGGTGCATAAAATCCAGCACAAAGTGTGCTTAGCATTTAATGAAGTGTGCACGACTGCTCTTCTTTCCGTGAGCTAGTTTTTCAGGGAGATCCATACTCAGCAGAAGACAGGACAACAGCCCCACTTTCTCCAGCTGGAAGCACAAATCCAGTGCTCCCAGCGATGCAAGTCTCAGAGCTGAAAAGCTCATTAGCTCACTAGATTGAAGGATTCAGGATCCCAAAAGGAGCTCCTTCCTTTGCATTATCCCATAACACAAGGCCTACAGTGTGCTGAAGGTGACAGTCTCTTTGGCCACCACAGATGCTCCCAGGCAAAAGGGGGAAAAAAACAGAAATTCACCGCTTCTGTGGCAGGGTGATGGTACACATGTGGTGAAAAAAACCAATGCGTTTAAAAAATTATTAAAATGGGTGTAAACTCATCCATATACTTGACCTGAAATTCAACCTGCACTGAATGCTCAGCATTAACCTGATATTACATGAGAAGTCGGGGAAGAAACTACTGCATTGCACTATTTCACCAGAACCTCCAAGAAAAAGCAGGGCTCTGCACAACGCTTTAACTGGGCTTTGCTACAAAATGCTGGATGGAGGGCACCCTGCACTGGTGTGTGCACCCAGGGGACAAGGTGCCACCATGTCCTCCAGAGACATGGAGAAAGGACCTCCGGCTGGGGCATCTCACATTTTCTCTCTCTCCTCCTGGTCCGTGGGTCACTTGTTAGCAAGGGAAGCATGTTTTGGTTAAAGGGGAGCGAGGTGGGAAGATCTGCACGCCACAGGAACACACACAGCTCATGCCACCCACCAGAGCGATGCTTCCGAGTCACCTTCAGCTGCTTCCCACCACCCCTCCCAGTACAGCACAGAGAAACACCACACTAACTCCCAGTGCCAGCTCCCCCCATCCAAAGGGAAGGGAAATTTTCTATTCCTGGTAGCACAGACAACGTTCAAGCATCAGGGGACAGTAGGGATATCATGCCTCCGGCCAGGACATCACCAAAACCCCACAACACGAGGAGGGCAGCAGCACACAACAGTGGGTGGGAGCTCACACAAGAACACACACACACCACGACACGCACGCAGAGACCATGATGATCTTTTTCAACAACCCCAGGATGAACAATTAGGAAGAGGGTGACAAGGAGATGGATGCTGGAATGGAATGGGAACGTAAATGAGTCTCCATGCCGTGCTGGAGTTCCTATAGCGAGCCAATTATTGCCCTAACCATGACTTTATGTCTCCAGCCTAAGCTATTTTTCATAACTGAGAATGTTTATGAAACTTATAAAATATAAAATATTTCATTATAAGAAATGGGATGCAAGTGACACATTCTTATTTCACGCCCAGCAGTAGAAAAATGTCTGATGCTCACAACAGGCTGTTGATTAGGACAACAGGAAAACACATTCATAATATTATACTTGCAATCCATTGATGCCATTTGCTGTAAATTAACCACCCAAAGTGGTAAGTGTGATTTACGAAGGTCATAAAATTTGCATCTGTGAAAACTGGAACCAGGTTTGGAAATCAGGCACTAAATCACATCAGCTCTAACGGCATTAATGCATCTAGTGAGGATTTAAACTGTTCTAAGAACAGAGCTTGGCCCACAGTCTTGAAATGCAAGCCATTTATTCCCCATCATAAAATATTGACTTGACTACACCTTCAGATACCCACCTCATATAAAATATGCCTGTGATTTGAAAATCTACTCTTTTCTGCAGAACCTGAGATAACATTATTTATAATAAATCTTACCCAGCCACATAGAGGTCTTTTTGTTTGGATTCATCCCAAAAGACTAAGCCCTACATTGAGTAACTGGGGCTAAGAACTTCTTGGCTTTAGGTCAGTCTTAGAAGAAAAACCTGAAATGGAGAAGTCCTGCTGAGACGAGCTACCCTTTTCCCAAAAATCAGACTGGATTACTAGAAGAAATGAATGATCATTTCAGTTTAGCATTCCACATCTTTCTCTCCTCCAGAAGTCGTCCTCAAAAGCAGGCACGGCCGCTACTGCGATTTCATCCTGTCTACCACTGATGTGTCCCACGGTGCCACCACACCAGCAAATTCAGCAAACCTAGAGTTACCTACAGCTCCTACAGCATGAAGTGAGACAAATGACACGATGAAGAATGGGAAAAGAGGGAGGGAGGAAGGGGAAGACGCAGGAGTGATGGCAGAGGGAAAATGGAAGTGTGAACAGGGAAGTTTTCTTGTCAAGCGTTGCATGAGTTGGAGGAGGTTGGTAAGACCATCAAGAAATCATCCTTAAAAAAAGCAAGCTTATCAAGCGCTCTCCCAGTCTCCTTCCTTAAATCCTCATTTTGGCAGATGGTTTCCCAACACTTGTGTGTACCAATAGCTAAGGTGTACATGGAGGTGCACGAGTTAGTCTGGAGGCAGCAGGATGGGGAGTCTGGTTTGGGCTTTCACTCATTCCTTTGAAAAAACTGATCTTCAGAGGTTTTTTTGTTTGTTTGTTTTGTTGTTTTTTTTTAATTAAAGGCTTTGCATGTTACAGTCCCAAACGAAGAACAAGGAGTGACATGACACACAGTTTCAGAGTCACATGCACTTCATACCTGGAGGCACCGTACGTTTGCGTTTGCGTGCTTTTCAAGTGTTTTCACCAAAGAAAACCAAAGGGATAAGAGAAAGAAAAAACAGGGTGGGGGGGGGAAAGGTAGGGCAGAGGAAAGGGGGAAAGAAACAGAATAAAGAAAATTAGCATATGAACGAAGTGTTTCCCCTGGAGCAGATGTGCTGTGACCAGGCAGCTGGTTCAGAAACCACTGTGTGCCCGTGTCACCCTCAGGGACAGGCAGTTGGCACCGTGCTCCAAAAGCAAACGGGCACCACACAGCAGGGAAAATGTGGGGGCCTCCGAGAGATTCTTGATGAGACCTCCCCAGCCATCAGTCCCAGCAGCCAGAGACTCCTTGGGCTGGGCTGCTGGCTTGGGCGTGATGTGCTGGTGGGGTTTTTTTTAAAGACCAATATAAGAACATAGATGAGATCAAGGTCTTGTTCTCATGAGTGACAATAAAGAGCAAAATTTTTTTTTTTTTTCAGCAAATCCAGCGGCTGATGCATAACAGGTGACAATGTCTGGGTGCACCAAGCTACACATGCATTACAAGCCCAAACCGTACCTGCATGCACAGGAACCTCATGCAAATTTCAGATTTGGTTCCACCACGTTTTCAATTTAAAGATGAAATCTGAGATACTCTCAGAGGTCACCATATTTTTCCCAAACCAGTGAGACTAGCTCTACTGCAGTGATGTTCTGGAGACACGACAGCTCCTCCAAGGCACATTTTAACAATTTTCTCACATCAAGCAGCCAGTCTTTTTGGAGATGCCTTGGGAAGATGCTCAAGTCACAGGGCTCCTGCTATGAGGAATAAGCACCCCAGTGTTGAGCAGAAAGGGTGCCAAGGTAGCAGTGACTGCAGATCACCCCCAGGAACCCGGGAGGGAGACAGGGATACTGTGTTCCTCCAACCCACTCCTTAACCACGGTGGGCACCACAGCCACAGGGCAGCACCCATCACCTTCATGTGATGCTGGGCTCAATGTGCCACTGAGACTGGACCAGTGCCCAGCTGGGTTAGTGAAGTGGGTAGACGAGGATAAATGGACAGTGTGAGTGATGGAAGCTGCAGCCAGAACATACAGTCACCCCCTCTTTTTTTATATATATATTTTTTCTCATTAATTTATCTGCCTGCATCTGAAATATATTTGGAAGAGGTTCGCTGCTTTCTTAGTAAAAAAAATCCAGTTTGACTAATGGCTGAATCCATCAGTGCACCCACAGCTCACCTTCCCAAGGTGATGTTCACTTTGTCCGCACACAGACAGGAGCTGGGATTTAAGGGTGAAGCTGGGAGAACTGGGAGCAGCACCCACAGCATCAGCCAGAGAAACTGCTACGACTTTACCCAGGCTTTCTATTCAAGATAGCTGGGCTCTTCAACAAATTACATAATTTTTGTTCCTTTTCCACCCTAAAGTTTTTATTTAGCCTGTTCTGGAGCTCTTTAGCTTAGTTTTCTTGTATGTATTAGCTCCATGGGAAATACAGGTTTCCTAGATTAAGTAGCAAGTAATTACTCCAGTACATCATCATGCAAAAGGGTGTCACTGTACGTCTGGCCGCGTGGTAGGTTCAGTCTTTCAAAGAGCAGTAAAACCTGACAAAGTCCACTGAAACCAGCCCCTGGCTTTCTGTGTTTTACAGCAGACTTTAACCCAGGCTCTGGTCCTCATCCTCTCCAGTAGCTGATCTCAGCCAGTGCTGCAAACGCACAGCGAGAAGGTCAAGTACTGGGAGGGAGAGTTTTGATGGGGGGTGGGTTTAATGCTATTGGAAAACAGTTTTGTTCTGTTTTGTTGGGTTGGTGTTGGTTTTTTTTCAAGCAAATTCTTTAAGTCCACTCATAAATCTCTAGGAAAAAAAGCAATCAATCAGACACACGCTGGGAGTGAATCCAATGAAAACTTACTGACCACGACAACGCGACTTCCAACAGGATTGTAAGCTGGTTTAACAGGCTGGCTGCTGCCTGTCAAATAAAGGCTAATGCTTACCCTAGGAAATATAGCCAGATTCTCTGCCTGAGGGCTAAAAGGTACCGGTAACATGGCAAAACACAAAGGGATTCACACTTAAAGTGGCACAGCCCAGTGCTGGACCACAGCCCTGCTTGGGAGCAGGGAGATGGGGCACAGCAAGCCCCCTCACCCAAGAAAACCCTGTGAAGCTACAGAAACATCTAACCAACACATCCCACTCCTGTACAAACCCCAAGAGATCTGGCCAGCCCCTAAAAACATGCCAGAAAGGGATGCACAGCCCTGCCCAGGATGCAGTGCAGTGTGGAGTGGAAAATGAACCGCAATGTTTTACATTTTAGCTTTTGGGGAAGCCTCCTCCTTGATGCCACCAACCCCGAGAGTGACAGGGGGATGCAGTGCTTCCCATCATCCTGGAGGACAGCGAGGCACAGCAGGGGACTCTGTCCCCATCTCCAGGAAGCTCCAAATCCCAAGAGGCTGTGAATTGTCACAGCTCTGCTATAACCTGTCTTGTTTCAGCTGAAAGAGTCGCCTGGGTGAGATGACAAGTTACCTCTCCTTAAAAGCAAGCCAGATGGATGGTGCTAAAACACAGCAGTGCTTTATCAGCACCATCCCTCACGGCTCTGCTGTCCTTCCCTACTCGTGTCAACAGATCGTGATGGATAAATGAAATGCAAGGAATGGGAAAACGCTCACTGAATCCTGATTTGGTTTTCCTCCTCTTAGAGAATATAAAAAAAAAAAAGGAAAGGAAAGGAGGATCCAGGGCAAATGCACCCGGGGAGAAAGCTGGGCCAGTCAAGGGAAGGAGAGAAGTTTGCTGAAAGGCAGAAGGACCATTAGAGACCAGGTGGGGTGGTGAGGAGAGCCCAAGCCAAGAGGGTGGCATTTACCTACGGTCCAGAGCAGCTCGGGAGGGAGGTTCTTCACGCCTGGGCACAGCAACTGTCACAACACAATGCAACTACCAGTGGACGTGGAGAAATAAGGGTGAAAAAGAAGAGCACGTACACACACAGACACAAAAAGAAAAAAAAGAAAACAAAACACAACAGGGAAATTAAAATCAAGTCAAAAAGAAATACACCAAAAAAAAAAACAAAGAAAAAAAAAACAACTCCAAAATAAAAACACATACCAGCCCTTAAGAGCTCATGAAACCAACTTTTTAAACTTAAAAAAAGCAAGTAAATGAACAAAATATATTCAGGTAACAAAAATAAATATGAGGAGAGTGGCATCACGAGGAAGACGGTGGAAGGAGGAGGTGGAGGAGGTGGTACCTGTACATGGGGACGGTGACGGTGCGCTCGTAGTACTGCCAGGTGGAGTGCAGGTCCGTCCGGGACAGGTTGGTGGCATAAAATCTCCAAGCCGCCTGCGGAGGAGACACAGTGGGATGGTGGCACAACCAGAACTACCCCAGGTTTTATAAACCTCAGCCAACACCGAGCCCTCCCTCTGTTTTTTGTGGGACGGTTCTGACATTCTGCCTTTTCCTTGGTTTGATACATGACAAATTCCTTGATGGAAAATTTGGGGTGGTACCGTGACACCCTGGACAATGTAAACCCAGCAAAAAAAAAAGTGCTGTGGGTACCAGGAGTTCGCTGTCAGGGTGAGGTCAGGTATCCAAAGGGTGTTGTTGCACACTAGGGAGTTAAAAAATTTGGAGAGAGAGGAGCAGGGGAATGTCAAATGACTCTAATTTGAAATCACCAAGGCCAGCCTTCTGCGCAGACATCTGTTATCGTGAAGAAAATGCTCCCAATTGTAACTTTATATCAGTATAAATATTCCCTTTGGGGAGGAAAAAAAAAAAAAAATAATAGTTTGGTGAAAACAGACTGTCCTAATGCATTTGTCTTCCTGCGCTGGGCTGGATTTCATTCCTTTTCTCCCCCAGATTGCCTACCACATATGCTATTTTCCCATGGCTGGTTTCCTGGCATTTATTCCCAGACAAGACCAGTCGCCAGCTGCTGTCTCACACCTCACACACGCAGCCCCATTTTTCACCTGCTCATCTCCTCCCCTACTGCTAAAAAAATTCATTAAGCTCCCCAAAATTGGGACTATGTACCCCTAAGGCTCCTCGGATGCCACCCTCACCTGAATCAGGCCCGCTGCCGGGTTTCGCCTCTTCTCAAAGTGCTTTTGTCGATGTTGCTCTTGAACCTTCAGGGCAAACCCCGAGCCCAAAATCCCCTGGGAAAGAGAATGAAAATTTGCAGTTAGCAGAGTTGTAGCTATGTTTTCACAGAACAGTTGCAGAGAACTTTCCCTCCAAAGGATTGTTCTGGCTCATTTTTTGCTTCCAACGCCCAAGGGAAGGAAGGAGAAGCCTCCATCCGAGGCAGCCCTGGCAGAAGGCTTCCCATGAAGGGGCTGCAGGCTTTGCTGGGGCTCCCTGGAATTGCAGCTTTTACCAAGCTACCTCCAGATGGCTGATAAAAAACAAAATAACCCCACCGTGCTGGTATTCAACAAATTATCCCCATAGGGGAAAATCAGATCCGTGCAACACACTGAAATGCGCTGTGAAAAGGATGGGGGTCATTTGCTGAAATGGAGCAATCACCCCTAGGAACAGCCTTTTGCAGGAAAAAAAATGGTTTTGCTTCAATAAATATTTGTGCAGAGCCAAATTTAGAGTTTCCATCCCGTTTGCTCATACACATAGTGCCCAAGCTGTGGGTGTTCAGACGGGGTTTCCCCTCTTCTCCCTTTATTTTTTATTTGATGCAACAGCCATGGAGCAGTCACTATCAGGAGGTCTCTGGGTTCATCACACCACTGTTGTGATGCCACCAGCTCTGGGGACAATGTGCAGTTGAGCTCAAACCCCCTCCCAGAGAGACACTTACGGCAGGAAGGGCGAAGAAGGAGACACCGATGAGGGTGAACGTTGCCGCCAGCAGCCGCCCGTTCCAGGTCTGGGGGTACTTGTCCCCGTAGCCAATGGTGGTGAGAGTAATCTGTGGGGAGGAGATCAAGCACAACCCTTGGGTCAGACAGCCCTAAGGCTAACCCAACAGAGCCACAACTCCCACCAGCACTGGAAAGGGACGTGGAGGAGCCGGGGTCACCACGTGCCCCAAGCTGAGCAAGTCGAGGTGCAGCTTGGAGGATCCCAACTGCTTGGGATGGGCACCTCCATGGGTAGGAACGATGCCCTGCCATCCCGGACAGCCCTGCCACCCTCCCTGCTCCACACGTTGAGTTTTCAACACCAGTTGGGAGCGTTTTCTCGCCTTTAGCTGACACAGGGAGAAGCTGCCATCTGGTGCAGAGGCTGCGGCAGCTCGGAGCCTCCCCCAGGAGATGGGGTTGCGCCTTCGGCAGGGGATGAGGACCAGCAGGGCTCTCCCCAAATTCCCTTCCAGCATCTCAGCAAAGAAGGCAAGGCTATCTGCGTGCATAAAGAGCTGATGCTGTTTATTCCTAATCTTCCCAGCACTGCCCATTAGCCAGTCTCCCTTCCTATATAAAAAACAGCGTATTAGCCCAACAAGATGAATTACAGCTGCTTCAAAAAACCTAATTTAGGGATGTTTTTTTCCCCTTCTCAGTATTATTGCAGTGCACCAGAAGAGTGCTGGCAAGCTGCTGAATGCGTTTTGGGGAAGTAGCTGAGTGATTTGTCAGAGACAAAGAATCCTCAGAGCTCCAAACTGCAGGAAAAGACGCATTTTCCCACTTCAGTCCATGGACATAATTCATAGGAAATGCTGGGTATCCCCTGAGGCTTCCAAGAGGATTCGGAGAGCCTGGGACTGGCAGGGCAAGGCAGAGAGAGATGGAATTAGGAACATCTGATTAGGAACATCTTCTTTTGAGACTTCTTCTCAACGGACCCCAACGGTCCCTGTGCCAACTGGGAAGCTGTCCCTGTCCCACAGCCTCCACGGACAGAGTTGGCCCCAGGGACCAGAGCTGACACCGTGCTGATGTGGCTTTGGAAACCTCATGCATCCAACTTCGAATAAAATCACTTTTACACAAATGGAAGCACGATCCCAAAGCACTGTTTAATTGGACCCACTAAAAGCCCTATCAATTAGATGCCATTTGGACAAAGTGGTTAGAAAATGCATCTACATGGCTATTCCTTGCTCAAACACAAAGTCGAAGCAATGCTCTCTCCATAACCACTGCAAAGTTGGCTTTTTTCTTTTTTTTTTTAATTTATAAAGACAACTCCAAGGATTGGATACACTATGAACCGACCAAGGGATGAGTTTCTGGCCATGAAATTTAATTTATTTTGCCCATCTTTTTACATCCGTCTGTACTAGACCCATGAGTTGGACCATGACAAAATCTGTTTATTTTACTGAAGCTCAAATTTTACTCTGAGCTTCTCAGTGGCAAAAACAGTCTGGTGCATCCCCATGTCCTGAAATGGGGACGGGGTGATCCTCTGCCAACGGCTTGCACTGCCTGGCAAGCAGGAGGGATAAATATGCGCATGGTTCTCTCTAGCCTGAGCACTAATTATGGGCTGTCACTTCTTCCTCATTGTTTATTTTCTAGTTATGTCAAATTGGGCTTTGTTTTTATTTTTCTGTCACAACCAAGGGCCTTGAGAAGCAATTCATCGCTTCTTTCCCTTTGTTGGAAGAGAGGAGCTGCTTGATCAGCCGATTCCTCCCCAAGCCTGTTATTGGGATTTGATCAGATCTGGGATTTTCATTACATGCTTTGTAATCAAGGCCAAACTAGCGCCACGGCGTCGGAGCAGAAGAACAATAACGCAAGAAGATTAGAACGTCATTAATTCTCTCTTTGTTAATCGGGTAATCCAATAATTCACATGCACACACAGAGCAAACCAGAAGTACTGCCCTTTCCTCCTTTCTCAGCAAAGATGTGAAGGGGGAGAGCTTTCAGCGCTCGAGTCTTTCTGGTACTTAGACCCTATTAATGTTATAAAACTTCTTCCAGCGTGTTTAACAAGGCGTTGCCCAAGTATCATTATAAATAATTAGAGGGCGGCAGCACTTGTCAAAATGCTGATCAAAGCACGTGGTGGCACGGGGTCTTCATCTGCCCTGCCTCTTCTGTCACGACAGAGCTGAATCCCACCACTGAGAGCACCCCGAGAGCTCCTGGTTTCTTTGCAGCTCCAGCTAATTCAGGACATTCAAACCCCTAACGTTTTCTATGAGGTTTATTTAGGAAAAAGAGCTAAATGGAGCAGCCTGAAGCCTTTTAATAAAAATGTTAACTAAGCACTCCGTAAGTTGATTCCCCGCATAAGTGATAGAAGACGGAGGGTTAATGGACATTTTATTTTAATAACCAGCAGCTGTTCTAGGAAAATTACTTACCAGACCCCACCAGAGTGCATCTGCGTATGTATCAAAGTGCTCATTTTCTCCTTTCTCGGCCAAGTATACCAGGAAAGAGGCCAGGATGAGGCACAGGAAGCCAATATACCAGGCAGTAATCAGCTCCTGCAAGATCATTAAGGGGTAGAAGAGAATAATTGCAATCCTGGTGCACATCTCCAAAAGCTGAGTTACTTGCTTGCGGATTGGCCTCAGATCGGAACTTTCCCTGCATTTGTTTAGGTTTTGGGGCTCCGGTTGGAGATCAGTAGTGCCACTTTTTGAGATGGGACCGTGTACTGGTGGTGGCCCTCGCATGCACACAGGGTGATCCCCATCCTGAAGAGCCCATCATCTAAACACATACAGCAAATGGAGAAGGAAAGGGAGTGTTAATATCTCCGTTATTTCAAGACGTGGAACTGAGACCAGAAAAAAACCAAAATATTTCCCCAGTTCTCACAGGGAAGCAGGGTTAAAACTGAAATGGGAACCCCAAGTCCCCAGAGACTTTGCTTGGGGCAGGTCCCTTCCACTTTCTGGGTGGGGAGCAACAAAGCTGGGGTCTGGACAGAATATCCCCCAATTTCAGGGAAGTTTTAATTCAGAATTCACAGGCGTGATTGTTTTTGGATGAGGTTAATACAGCAGTGGACAAGAGAGGCATAAAACTCCTATGATTTTCACATAGATCTGGACAAGCTGGCTAAGCTTTTCCAGTGGAACAAGTGCAGGAAAACAAATTCTTCCCAAAATGGGGAAAGAGGCCTTCTGCAACTGGTCCATGATCTCACGCTGGGAGGAGGAATCCAGAGCAATAATGGTGTCTGCGAGAGGCTGCTCCTCCCAGGATGCGCTTTCAGAAACACGTCTGCTTTGAAACGTGCATCCTGGATAAAGAGCTGGCAACACCACCTGTGCTTAACGAGGCTGCTGGTTAATTGCTAACTCTTTGAAATGAGCTGTGTCAGCGTGCAGGTGGTCGCTGTGTTCAAGATATTCCCTGCAAACATCTAAACATCTCTCCTTTCTCTCCTCTGCTGGTTGAAGGGCTCCATCGGAGCTCACGTCTCTGACTTTGCATTGCTCCCCGTGTTACTCTACGGTGACTTTCCAACCTCCCCAGGCCTGGGAGATGTTTGGGATGGAGAAGTGAAACAAAGTGGTGTCCCTGGTGGGGCAAAAATCATGAAGAGCAACTCAACTTCCTTGCCTGGGGCTTGCTCACCTTACTGTGTGCGTAGACCACAGAGCCCAGAAGCTTCCAGGTGCCTCCCCGCCGGTCCATGCGGATCATGCGCAGGATCTGCAGGAACCTCAAACTCCTGAGCGCTGAGGTGGCAAAGACATTCCCTTGGGACCCCGCTGCCAGCACGGCGATGGACGCGATCAGCACCATGATGTCTGCAAGAACAGAGCATGTTGAAAGCTGAAGAAATGCTGCTGAACCACTACCAAATGGGGTGGCTCATCTACTGCTGGAGAAGGCTGTGCAGGGAAGTGGTCTCGTATCAACTCTATCTTGTACTGGAAGGACACAGCAGAAATCCTAACCTGGATGAAAAGAGCCACTACAAACCTTGTGGAAACATCCTAGTTTCTTTCTCCACACTCATCCTTCCCACAGAAAATGTGTCAAAGCTGGAATTCTGATAGGATTCAGTGTTGACATTGCTAAATCAGACTAAATCCTTGCAAGACACATGCCCTTTTTGAATCAGTCACAGCTGCCTGTTACAAAGGGTGGCCCAGAGGTGTGAATTCCCCTGTCTAAATTGGGAACGAAAACCTAGAGGTCCACCTTAGCAATCCTAGGGTGCTCACGGACACAGAAAGGTCAAGAAAAAGGCCAAGAAAAATAAGATTGGTCTATATATGCCAAATTTAAGGATCATGACAATTTCCCTCTTCCCTGGTTTTCTATGCAAGTTTTAAGGGTTGCTTTTCTGTGGAATAAGCTAAAATCCTGTGTATGACCATTGCCAGCTCCTGGACATTTGAAAGCAGGCTCCGTAGCATGGCACGGCCTCTCTGCCCACTCCTTACCCCGTTAAAAATAACTGCTGTGCACAGATGGTCCCTTTCACAAGAGGATCGCCGAGTACTTCACAAACAAGAATTAATTAAGTCTCATAACTCCCTTGTGAGGCGGCTCGTCAGCACCAGGGAAGGCAAAGTGAGACAGAAGAGCTTCAACGGCTTGTGAGTGACTCTGTGTCAAGGTTGGACACAGGTTTGCAGGATCTCAGCTCCTACACTCAGTTTCTCCAGCCTAAAACCCCTTTCTGTGGTCTGTCAGCGATGCCCGGGGTACACAGGGCAGCAGGATGGCTCCCAGGTCCGCAGAAAACGGGATGGACCTCGTGCAGAATAATAAAAAACATCTCCATGGATTAAGACTTTGGCCTCTGTGCTCTTTCCCTTCTCAAGGTGACCATGAAGCAGCTGAGGACCAGCTCCCAAACTGCACAGAAGGAACCAGAGCACTGTGCAAAGCAAGAGCTTGCAATAGTTGTTTTGGTGTGGGAAATCCCATGCAAGGAGGCAGGTCTTACCGATGACGCAGAACGGCTTGCGGGCAAATTTTAACCTTCCCCTCCAGCCCCGGTACCGGCAGCAGCATCCAGCTGCCCAGATCCTCACGAAGTATTCAACCCCAAACACCACGATGGTGACGATTTCCTGTGAGGGAGACAATGTCATCAGTCAAGAAAGCAGCGTGATGGAGAGCAAACTCCAGAGTCAGGTATAAATCCATAACCTAAACTCCACACACCTCAGAAAATGCCTCACAGAGCTCTCTGCACAGTTAAATGGAGAGGCCCAGGCCTGAAAGATTGTCAGATCTTTGCTGTTGTGCCTTCCCTCACCCTCCCCTGGGGCGGTGAGAGGTCATGGACTAGAATTTTACAGCTCCTTATATTGTGTTTGTGTCCCTCATTACAAGATTGATGAGTACCTGAATATCACAGAATGGTTTAAGTTGGAAGAGACCTTTAAGATCATCGAGTCCAACCATCAACACACTGCTGACAAAACCATGTCCCTCAGCACCATATCTGCCCATCCGTTGAATACCTCCAGGGATGGTGACTCCACCACTTCCCTGGACAGCCTGTTCCAATGTTTGATAGCCCTTTTGGTGAAGAAATTTTTCCTAATAACCGTCCTAAAACCCCCCTGGTGTAACTTGAGGCTGTTTCCTCTTGTCCTATCATCTGTTAGTTGGGTGAAGAGACAGTCTCCAGGATTTGGAACTAGATGATCTTTAAGGTCCCTTCCAACCTAAACCATTCTACGACTTGATTGGGTTAACACTGAGCAGCTCAGGGAAGACCAGAGATGGGAATCACTGGCCACTCCACCCTAGGACTCCTCACATGAGATTTGAGCTTTTTCCCTAGAAAACTGGCCTGGTTTGTGTCCACGTGCTGTGCCATCTGGTGAAGAGGCAGTGGAGATCCTCTGCCCCTTGACGCCCAGCAAACACACTGATGCTGTGCATCCCAGCTCCTTCCATCACCACCCCAACACCCTGCACACACTTCATTCCCCCCCTCCACACACACACACACTTACCAGGATGTAAAGGGCCCCTTCTGAGCTGTTCTGGTACTCATCAATGGTCGAAAAGACAGACAGCACCAGGCAGGAGAAAACTAGTAGAAAACTATATAACATAAAAAAGAGAGAGAGAGAAAAATCAGTCTTCAGAGCAGGAATTTTTCACACGTCATCAGACTAGTCCAGAGAGAATTTCTGGATGTATTTCTCTAGGGAGTATTTACTGTCCTGCTATTACACCACCATGTAAAAAGTGAGAGTAAAGTCCCCAGTTTTACTAACTGGAAGGGTTACGAGTGGATGGACCCACTGGACTGCTCCCAGTTTGGCCACTGCCAGTCCCACTCCCCTCCCAGCTGGCGGCTCGGATCGCCTCTGACATTATTTCCCCAAGGAATGGTCAGCTCTTACTGCAACGTGCTTTCAACAAGCACGAAAACAAATAGAGAAAAGCTGATTTATTAACACAATAACTGGTGCCCAGAGTGGCTGATGAGCAGGAGCCAGGTTGAACAGGAATCCATAGAAAACTCCAGTGATGCCCTGCTTGTGCATTGTGCTTACACAAGAGAGGGATTGCATTTCCCCTCCTTGCCAAGATAGGACATTTTCTGGTGGATTTAATGTTCCCTTCTACAGCTACAGAGGTGTCCTGGCATCTGCTCATGGATGGAGAAGGTTTCCACCAGCCTGCGATGCCCACTGCTTGCTCAAACAAAAGGAGGGGAATTAATTTACTAAAGATCTATTTACTGATACAATAAAGTAGGCCAGTGCAGGGAGAAACTAAAAGCTGCATTCTTTAAAAGCACTAAATAATTCATCTGTCTGGCTTTGTCTCACATTCCTACAAACAGCATATTGAATATTTATAAAGAACGGTTCAGCTGGTGGGTTCTGTTCCTCTGCATTGTATTAAGAAAAGGAGTTTCGCACCATCCGGGTCGTGCTTGTGGCTTTGCAATGACCATTAATGTCACAATAACAAGTAAAAATAGGGGAATTTGCAGTATTTATTTGAACCACAGGCTGAAACATCCCTGCCTGCTGGAGGTAAGGGACCTTCAGAGCCATCCCAGAGAAGGCTGAGCTTTGTCAGCAACAAGATGAATTCAGCGCAGCCCAGATAAGGACAATTGCCTGATTGTTCTCCACAAATTTCCTTTTCTCACACTAGATCTGATACCTGGAGACTTGAAACAACCTCAAGAGAGTGATAAAACATCCCTTGCCATCCCTCTCATGATGTCCCTTAATGTCTTCTCTGGCTCTCACTGAAATTTTTTTTCTCCCCAAGCCAGTCTTTTAAAACCCTTGCCATAAACAAGCCTACCACAACCTGCCCTGCAGCCGAAGAGACTTCATCCACCCCCTCCAGGTTGCCCGTGCTAGGAGCTGGGGACAGGACCCCACTGCTGCCCACACTGTGGCAGGGGGACCAGAGCCCCCCTGAAAGGAAGGAGCTGCAATTGGGTCAGGCAGCCATGCTGCTGGGGTGGCCCAGATTTTGCTGCAAACTCCTACGTTGGAGTGAGAAACAAATGAATAATCAATGAAAAAAGACAAACAAGAGGAAAACAAACCAAAAAAAAAATAACAGAAAGGGAACAGGGGGAAAGAAAATCCTGCATTTTCTGATTAAAGAAGTAGAACGTGGGTTATATTTTTGCGACCAAACTTTACAATAAAATGCCTGGGGAGGTGCTAAAAGCTAAGTGGCAACAGCAATGTGGACTTGCACACCATGTTGGGTTTGGTGACCACCTTGGATGGATCCAGAATGAAGCCACGTTCAAGTGATGAGTCCTGGCAGGGACAAATGCCCCAAGAAAGAGGATTGCTGTATCTTAAATTTGTCACTAGACAGGTGTTGATGGGGTAGAAGAAAAATAATTTTATCACTTTGAATGCTACAAATGCCCCAAGAAAGAGGATTGCTGTATATTAGTCACTAGACAGGTGTTGATGGCGTAGAAGAAAGAAAAATAATTGTATCACTTTGAATCCCAGGGGTGGATTGTGCAAGCAGTGGCTTATGTGGGGAGAGCCAGGACATCTCCGGGTGCAGTGGGATGCCCAAGTGCTGCTTCTTCCCTTCCCCACCTCATCGCTGCAGCCTTGTCCCCAGCCTCTCTGTTCCCCACCTCCCCACAGCCAGCTCGGGGCTGCTGTAATTTTGGCTCTGTGCTCTCCAGGGCTCTCATTGCCAGGGAGACCCGATGCAGATCACTCTTGCAGGGCCAGCATTAATTACAGCACTGCCAAGCATGGGAAGCATTGGGGAAGGTGCCAGCTTCTTCAGTGAAGCATGGGAGCTCCATGGGCAAGTCCCACGTGGACCAAAATCTCCCATCTCAGTCCTGATGGGGACATTCAGCCACAGGGTAACAAACGGTCCTGCCAGCAAGGGATGCAGGCACTGGCTCATCACAGGGTGAGTTGCTCAAGCATCCCAAAATAGCTCCACAGTGATGCTCTGCTTGACCCTGTGGTCCAGGAACCTCCGGGAGGCTGTAAAAGGAGACTAAGAGAATGAAACCTTTCTGCAAGGAAATGGAATTCAGGAGGTTGTGGTCTATATGGCTCCTGGGAGGCTTTGAAGGATCTGTAGACCCCTTATGAATAGCGGGTGGAAGAAGAAAGCCAAGAGGTATGTCCACACTGGAGACGGTGCGTGTCCTCCGAGCTCGCACAGAGGAGGACAGCAGGGAACAGGAAGGCTGACTCTGCTTTAATTTCACCTAATCTACCCAGACAGTGCAGGAAAAGGGCTCCAGATAATAATGGATAGCTAGGGAAAGGGAAACAGGCCAATAAATAGTGTAGAGGTTAGGACGAATCTAATTTTTAAAGCTACATATCTAATCAAAGCAAATTATGTCTGCAGCCTGACTCTGGGTAATGTTAACGTGCAATAAGGAACGTTAATTATGTCCCATCTAATGATTTTTACATTAAAGATGCCAATTCTGCTTAGAGCTTTGGAGAAGACAATATCCTCCTCCCGAGCAGACAGGAGCTGGGTCCTACACAAGGCACAGCTGGAGCCAGCACCAGCATCTCCCAAACCCAGGCCAGGATGCCAAGGGCACTGCGTGGCTTTGGACCACTGTCTCCTTCCCAGTGATGGCACAGAAGAAGCTGGCTCCAGCTTCCTGGAGCCACTGGGGGAGGACACCTCATGTCACTGCATCTTCTCACCTACCACCCATTCCAACAAGCAACCCAGCACCTTCTGCTGCTGGGCATCCCCCACGCCTGTTGCTTAGACCTTTAAGCTCAGCCAAGGCTCAGCTGTGCAAATCTGACTGCTGCTAATACTAATAAATCCATAGTCCTCCAAAGTCTGGCTTTACATCCAAAGGTTACGTTGACTTAAAACGCCCATACAAGCTTCTTATTACAATTTATAAATCCCAGCACAAAATCTGCATATCCAGATTTCATACCCATCGTGCTTCATGTTAGCAATAGAAAAAGAAATGACTGAACTCCCCCTCAAAAAAAATAACAAAATGACTTGAATCAGGAAAGACTGTCCTTTTCTTTTTTTTCCTCAGTAAAAGCATATGATGGAATCATCATAAAGCTTTTCAGGTTAATCATCTAATTTGCCTTCCAAAAGAAACCCCCTTGGAATCTACACACCCATTTACATAAGAATTTGAAAAGACCTTCAAATTTATTCCTGAAATACTTGTATTGAAATAATATTCTATGACAGGCAAAAGCATTGGGCTTCCTCTGATGAAGCACCAATAATTAGCAACTGGATTCCTGAATGCAATGGGGACGGATATAATACAAGGAGGTGGCACAAGCTTGTAACAAGCCACTGTGCTTGTTACACAATTTTCTGGCTTTCCCTGGAATTGGGAAAGGGAATTTAAGATTTGTTTAATTAGAATGAGCCAAACTGGAAAGGAAGGAGTATTTTACGACAGGTATTTGACAGCTGCACAATGGAAAACAACTTAAAACATTTAAAACACTTAAAAATAATTTTGGGGATGTAAACCAGCCATTGATAATTGTGCCAAAATAAAACCAAAATGCTTATGGGCCAATCCCTCTGTAATCCCAGCAATCCATTTGCTGTGGTCTCTGTAAAGCGCCGGCTTTCAACTATCTAAAACTCCAACGCAAATCAAAGGCCATGAAACTGCAGCAACGACAAGAAACCAAGGTGAAAGAACATCCATTCTGAAGAGAAACAGAGATTGTCAAATGCCTTTTAACACTCGGAGAGCCTCATAACCAGAACGGGAGTATTTACAGCTCAAGTTCAATCTCTAGTGAATCAGAAGCAGAACTCTGATAATGGCATGGCTTTTCCAGGGGTAAAGACGCTGAGATGCACCTACCCCTTAGCCAGGAGCATCCATCACATTTATTCACGTAGGCAATCCTGCCCTGATTTGTAACCCAGCTCTTCATTTACAAGGCTAAACACGAGCCTAAATGCCTCACTGCAGCTTTCCACAACCCTCAGCCTCAGCCAAAATCATCTCCCAAGGCGACTTCTGTCACTAGCAGAGCTGAAAATAGAAGCAGGGAGTCCTGCCTTTCGGTCCTGCGCCTTAATAAATGCTCTCCTTTCCCAAAATAGCTCCTGATGGTGTGTCATTCCCCGCAGGTTTGACCATGCCCAGCCCAGGTCTTGCTCCTTGGAGGAGCCTGGAGGCTCCCTGGGTACCCAGCAGGTAGAAAACATTCTCTATGGGCAACACACAGGCTGGCTCCAAGGCAGGGATTCTCATTGTTTATACACTTTTTCAGATATCTTTAGCAAAAACCTCTCTGGGACAATGTTAATTGCACTGAGATGATGGTTGAGCAGCCCCGATAAGAAGCACCTTGTGCGTACAAAGCCATAAAGTGTACCAAGGATGGGGATGTAAGATCTGCAAAAGAGCATCCCCAGAGGACCCAAGCAGGGTCCTGGTGGAGGCTGTGCTGTGGACAGCAAAGCTGCAATAAACAGTGCTCTGGGAGGTGGGAATTGGGCTACAGAGAAGCAGGTCTTGGAGACCCCAAACCATCTTATAGGGGTGGGAATGAGAGGGTTTATATTCCTGAGGAGCCCCAGGACATGTCCCTCAGCCCCTGTGAATGAATGCAGCCATCCTGCTCTCCTGGCTGTGTGACAGCAAGTGGCAAAAAGCAGGAGGTGGTTCTCCAGCAGTTGGAGATCCTGTGTGACAGCAAGTGGCAAAAAGCAGGAGATGGTTCTCCAGCAGTTGGCCCCAGAGGACCCAAGCAGGGTCCTGGTGGAGGCTGTGCTGTGGACAGCAAAGCTGCAATAAACAGTGCTCTGGGAGGTGGGAATTGGGCTACAGAGAAGCAGGTCTTGGAGACCCCAAACCATCTTATAGGGGTGGGAATGAGAGGGTTTATATTCCTGAGGAGCCCCAGGACATGTCCCTCAGCCCCTGTGAATGAATGCAGCCATCCTGCTCTCCTGGCTGTGTGACAGCAAGTGGCAAAAAGCAGGAGGTGGTTCTCCAGCAGTTGGAGATCTTTCTGGGATCTTCCCTGGCCACGTGTCCCGGAGCGGGAACGCTGCTGGCTGGGCACAGCACCCACTTTCTGTGCTTCAGCTCCCCTTCCAGCTACTGAAACATGCCTGCACACTCACACCCCAGGGAAGCAGAGGAAGATGAGATCTCCTTCACATCAGATTTTGGAGAGAAGGTGATTTTCTGCTTTATGAGCAGATAAGGAGCATTCACAAATCCATCACAGCAAACTAAGGCAAAAGGAATAGTTGTCCATAGCTTTGCCATAGGGGCACAAATCACAGAACTTCTCTTCCCCTGCCTTCCCTCTATTTAGGCAGCACATTTCTCAGTTAAAAAGGGCAGGATACGGGCTCACATATTTATTTTTCTCCTTCAACATCCACCACTTTGAAAATCAGTTCCCACTCCAAGAGCTTCTCCAGCCTTTCCCTATTGCTTATATCAGAGTCACAGAGCAGAAAATGCATCATCTGCCCAGAGTCACCACCTGAACCCGGGAACTGCAGGAATTTGAGCAGAAATGGGTTTTGCATGACATATCTCCCCATGACCCAGTCCAGCAAAGGATTGAGTATCTCCACACTTTCAGGCAAGAGTGAGCTTAAGAGCTTTTCTGGATTGAAGCCTCAAAGAACAAAAGCCAACTGGAAACGACAGGGAACGGAGATCAAGATCTGAACATTTCAGGCAGGAAAAGGGGTTAACTCAAAGGAATCTGTTGCCTGTTTTGCAGGCTGGCTCTAGCCTTTTAACTCACTCAAGGCAACTCGGCTCAGAGTAAAAGCCTTATTAATAATAATCGCCGCACTGCAAAAGTCCCAGCTCAAATGTTCCTCTCCGTCCTCATCTAACATGAATCACTGGGAAACGCTTGTCTGCGTGTTCTGCCTGCCTTGTGCACGCAGCCTCAGAGGAGCCAGATGTCTGGAGGAAAACCCAAAGTATTAATCAAGCCCCTGCACCTGCCAGAAGAGCCTGTCTCTGCTGCGACGCAGCGCTGCCGGGCTGAGGCTTTGCTTTTCAAAACTTGGTGGGGAGAAAGCTACTCGTGCAGCTGCAGAAAGAGTCCACGGAAGAGAATCCTAAAGACCACGGCGCAATTATGGTGCACTGGGAGGTAAATTAAGAGTATAAAATATTGGACATTTAAGTAATTCTTAAAACGTCTGTGCAGGCATTTACTCAGAGCACGTTCATTGATTTTCATGTGAGGGAAAGTTGCTGTCTCATGCAATACCCGTATTAGTCAGATTGAAATCTGAGCACTGAGCTGCTTCATCCCACAGGGTATTCCCCCAAAAGAGCCTCTGCTTCCTCCCGACCTCTGAGAGACCATTACTAGCGAGTACGGGAATACAAAGCCTTCCTAATCTAACCTTTACCTGCATATGAAGATCAAATCATTTCTGCTTCTTAAGGTCAAAGTCCTGCTTCTCTGCAACACCTCAAGAAAAATAAATTAAAGAAATTTAAGAAGCCAAGGGTGATGTTGCACAGTTGGAGCAGGCAGGAATAATAAAAAAAATCCTTTCACTGAGGTCAAGCTCCTTTGACCGACCTGGGCAAGTCACTTGACCTATCTAACTGAGCTCAAAAACTGGGTTAAAAGCAAGATGCCCCTGTAAAATGTAATGCTGCATCTCATCTAAACATTCCTCGAGGGAATGGGATATACAAAAATAGGCTCTGGTCTAATTGCAGATAGGAAGATTGTCTCAAAATGTGCAGGGCTGGTTCCCGCTGCAGACAGGAATAGTAGCTGGTTTTTCAAAGGTCTGTCCCAGAATGAGCGATTCAGCTGGAGCCCGAGGTTTCCTGCCCGGGAAGGACAAGCTCTGTCTCGCTCAGCTCCTTTAGCTCCACTTCCCCAGCTCTGACTCTGTGCTGGTTTCACAGCACCAAGAATCACAGCACCTCTAAAAATGAGCATCCTCGCTGACAGCATCCGCAGGGAGCTGCCGACACAGCGGCTCAGCAGCTCCCAGCCGCCGCAGGAACCTTCTCAAACCCCCAGCAGGCAACGAAATGGCTCAAAATCCTTAAGTTGACTTCTAAAAAATCTCATTTTCCCCATGCCTCAGCCCACGGCTTACGCTTCTGTAAAGGCAGGACCCCAGAGCTGTGCGCTCGGGCTCTCTCCCAGCTAACAGCAAAGGACAGCTGAGATTTTTGGGTCCATCCCTGGCTTCGTGCCTCGATAATGAGAAGACAAGAATGTGGCTTCTTGGAGCCAGAGGGTAACGCATAACGCCAAAGCATAAACCGCAAGCATCACTAAAGCACTGCTAATTTCATTTGCTCGTCAGTTTATTTAATTAACTGAGTCTCGGTGAAAAGAAAGAAGTATTTGCAAACTGCCCGTGTAATATGTCTTGGAGTTGGTAATTTTGCCATCTGTTTAATTTTACTTCTCTTGCCCCAGCTAGTGACTAGGAAGGAGCTCAGAGCCGAGAAGCAGGAAAGTTGGTTCACAGCCTTTTGATTTTGGTCCCCAGAAGATGATGACCCCCAAGCTGGGTTAAAAAAAAAATAAAAATATATATATACACCCAGAGGAATAACGAGAGTGCTATAATCAGCAGGACCACATTCCCTCTCTGCAACTCTTCCCTACTCAGACTGGGGCAAATTAGGAAAAAAAGCCAAGGGGGCTACACTGCCACGAGGGTTGAGTCCAGCTCTGCTGGGTCCAAATCTTGCCATTCCCAAGAGACAACTGAGTTTGGGATGCAGAAAAATGCAGGATTAGATCCAACAACAAGGAATAAAAGACCAGTGGCCAGTTTTGGAGCTCTGCATCCCTTCCCCACATCAGTAGGATGGTGTCACCCTCCAGAATAAAGGTGGCAGAACATGGCCCTGGTGCTTTTTCCTGCCCGTGCAGCTGCTCCTGGTGACAGGCAGGACCGGAGGAGCTGCTCAAGATGAAAGGATGCAAAAC